GAAAAATAGTAATGGTTACATGTGGGGATATCAAGCGGAGGGTACAAAGACCACTTCTGAGAGGGACTGAAGATGTGCTAGGTATTCATCTGGGAGGCAACTGCACAAATCTCTGTAGTCTAAGACTTCCTGAGCCAGTAGCTTTGAGATTTGTCAGTTTATTATCTTTTTTATTTAAAAAAAAAAAATCTCTTTGAGACAAGGTCTCTCTATGCAGTCCGGAGTGGCCTCATTCATTATCCTCTCGCTCTCCCGCCTCTTGGGCAGGAATTCCAGGGCTGCACCAACATACTTATCATTTTTTCAACTTTTCTTCACTTGCTCTCTCTAGCTGTTTATCACTCTTTTGTCTATCCACAAGAGTTAGGCTCCTCCCTCTCTCTCCCCACAAAACTGTCCTTGGCAGGGACCTTAATGACCAGTCGTTTTCTTTTGCCAATTTAATTTTTAACATTTTATTTCTTTATTTTCTATGTGAGTGTTTGCCTGCGTACATTGTGTGCATCTTATGCATGCCTTGGGCCCAAGGGGCTAGAAGAGGGTGTCAGATACCCTGGAATCAGAGTTATATATGGTTCCTGAGAATCAAACCCAGGTCCTCTAAAAGAGCAGCAAATGTTCTTGAGGACTGAGCTATCTCTCCAATCTCGTTATTTTGTTAATTTTAATTATTATTGGTAAATTTTAATTATTATTGGTATTTGTGAGTGTATGTGTGTGTGGTGTGTGGGGTGTATGTATGTGAATGTGGGTGGTATGTGTATGTGAATGTGTGTGATGTGGGTGGTGTGTGTATGTGAATGTGTGTGATATGGGTGGTGTGTGTGTGTGTGAATGTGTGTGGTGTGTGTGGTGTGTGAATGTGGACAAATATCATAGCACTTACTTGGAGGTCAGAGAACAACTTTTCAGAAGTCAGCTCTCTCTTACTGTGGGATCCAGGGATTGGATTTGGGGTCTTAGGTTTTTTTATACAATGAGTTATCTCAACAGCCTTATTTTGAGACAGGGTTTCATTATGTTGTCCAGACTACTCCTGCCTCTGCCTCCCATGTGGAGAAGACTACAGGCACACTCTCAAGCCAGCAGTTTGTTCTCTTGTGTGTAAGTGGAGGGGAATGTTTGGATTGGTACACATGTGGGGGCCAGAGGTCAGCCTCCGCTATCATTGCTCAGGAGCGGTTCACCTTGGTTCGTTCTGTTGCTTGCCACAGAATCTCTCATTGGCCTGGAGACCATCAACTAGGCTAGGTCACCTGCCAATAAGTCTCAGCGATCAGCCTGTCGCGACTTCTCACACTGGGATTACAAGCCATTGCTGCCACACTTGGCTTTTTCACATGGGTCCTGAGGAGCCTCAGGTCTTCATCCTTGTACGGCAAGCACTTCACTGAACTGTTTCCCCAACCCCAGACATCTATCCTTTGTCCTTACTCCTCCACAGTGCTGGATGCTTGCTCCCTTGGGCTCTAAACACCCGTGCGCTTTCAGATTCTCTCACTCTCTAAGATGGTCAGGCTTCTCTGCAGCTTCTTCTTCAGCTTCCCTGCCTCCGTCCAACGAAAGATCCCAGGGCCTGAACACTGCTCACTGCCCCCTCCTTCACACCCATCACCTCCTGCAAGGCCATGGCCTAAAACACCACCCACTGGCTTTACCTCCCAGTTCAATCCTCCAGTGTTTATCTCTCCTGGAACTCCACAGTCATACACCTACCAGCTGATCCTGCCTCTCCTCAAGGCTCACATCTTCACAATGATCATTTGCTTTTCTCCTAATCTTTCAGACTTAAAAAAAAAAAAGATTTAATTTTTTATTTTTCAAGACAAGTTGCACCAGACTTTTTCTTTTGGGCCACCAATCATCTCCCAAATTATGATATAAAGACTTATTATTAATTGTGAATGCTCAGTCTTAGCTCTTATTTTAATGTTTCTCTTTATCTACATTTTGCTTTTTACCTTTCTTTCTTTCTGTGTATCTACTCCACAGGCTTCCTGGCTTCTGGCCCAGCACATATTCCTCTCTTTCTCCTTCATTCTCTTCTCTTTCAAGCCTAGATCTCTCCTCCTATTTATTCTCTCTGGCAGCCAGCCCCGCCTATCCCTCTCCTGCCTAGCTATTGGCTGATCACCTTTTTATTAGACCAATCAGGTATCTTAGGCAGGCAAGGTGAAACAAATGTGACACGCTTTCACACAGTTAAAGTAATATTCCATAACATTAACAAATGTAATAATCTTTGCCTAGTTAAAGAAATATTCCACAAGTCTCTTTTTCTTTTCTTTTTTAAAAAATGTATGTGTGTATCTATCTATCTGGGTGTTTTGCCTGCATGTATTTCTGTGAAGCATGTTTGTGTAGTGCCTGCAGAATCCACCAGAAGAAGGCATCAGATCCCCTGGAACTAGAGCTATAGACAGTTGTGAGCTGTCTCACAAATGGGGGTCCTCTACAAGCACAGCCAGTGCTCTTAACTGCTGAGTCATCTCTCCGGCCTCTCTTTCCAGTTTTTACTAGATTGAAAAAAAAAAACTTTATTGATCTAGTTACATGTGTGTACATTATACAACCGAAACTTTCTGCTTTCAGAGCTGTCCTTTTACCTGCCTGTCCCTTCCAGGGATGTTTTTCCAACTGTAGGCCAGATCACAGATGAGGGCCCCTTCACAGATGAGGGCCCCTTCACAGAAGAGGGCCCCTTCACAGATGAGGGCCCCTCCATTTGTTACATAGCCCTTTAAAAACCAAAACAAAATTCAAAAATAAGAAAGACTTCCCCAAGTATTTAGCAGCAACTGCTATAGCCGACCATAGCTTCACATTCCCCTTTTCAGTTATCAGATTATCCCTTTTTTTTTTTTTTTTTTTTTTTTTTTTGGTTTTTCAAGACAGGGTTTCTCTGTGTAGCTTTGCGCCTTTCCTGGGACTCACTTGGTAGTCCAGGCTGGCCTTGAACTCAC